CATGAAATTTGATAGGACCACTTGGCGTCTAGTTCTTCTATATGCCACCCTTTCTTAGTATGATTGAAGAAAAGGGCCACTCAAGATATCCCTTCATCAATCGTTTTAGTTCGGTCTCCACTGTAATCTAACAAGATGTATACCAAGGAGCACATTATGCCGATTTCTGACTGCATATATTGACCTAAATTGTAAAACAACCGTCCCAGAAACATTGAATCTTTTTTTTGAAATTGTTTACTTTTTAGAAGATAAACTAAATCAAATAAAAAGTTGCCCATCTTTACACGAAACTGTTGGCATGCGTCAGTGTTGTATTTCTGCAGATCTCTTAATTTATTCTTCAAGTGGTCGTTTGGCAGCGATACTTGAATTATTAGGTTATATCCTTCCTCGACTTAAAAAAAGTTTTTCCTGATCGCAATGATTTTATTCTTATTTTCTAAGTTTTGTATTGCGGTCGGATCATTAGTACTTGGTTTATTTTTTCTGATTGTAAATCCTGTATTTCGGATAAACAAAAGAATGTGGTTCCTTGTCCCTGTTGATTGCAAGTTACATGCAGTGGCCTATCTTTTGAAATTAATTTATTGGTTTCAAGAATTCTATTTATTGCATCAATCTAATGTATTCATACATCAATAGTGTTAGAGGTTACTATACTAACAGCGCGTCATTTTAAAGACGAGTGAACCACTGAGTTTAAAATACCTACAAGGCGTCAGATTGGCAGCCAAAAAAACTTTCAATATAAACTTTCTTACAACCGTGATTAAATTGTTTCTTTTTTACTGGTGTCGTTCATTTCTATATCCTAATCTGATTTACTTTGATCTCTAAAGCCGTGATCACACTGGAGTGTTGATCTGGATTTACTCCGCGATATCTGAAGCGAATATCTCACTACGGACTACCGGCCAGAAATAAAGCTATGAAATAAGAACTAGTCTTAATCTGGGTTTATTCCATGATCTGTAAAGCCACGATCACACTGGAGTTTTAATCTTAAACCGAGATAAAATCAGTGGTAACAGGATCACATCGTACCAGAGATTTCATCTGAATTCAAAGTTCTCCAAAGTTACGATCATACCAGAGGCCTTCTCTAAATTATATTCTGTGTTACCTCTGAAACCAATATCATATCAGTGATTTGATCTGGCTATATATTTTCGAAACAATCTTAAAGCTAGGATGTCATAAGGTCTTACCCCTAACACTGTTTCTAGGATATCCTAGAGTCTTAACTTTTAACACTGTTTCTAGGATATCCTAGAGTCTTCACTTCTAACACTGTTTCTAGGATATCCTAGC